GTCGGCTGTGCTGACGAGGCGGTTTGACGGTGACGACTGGGACATCGTGATTGATGGCAGTCGCGGGAAGCTCGAGGACGCGTTCTGCAGGGAGACGGCTGCCGCGTTGGGCGTGTCGCAGAGGCAGGTTGTGTGTGTGGACTGCAGGATCGGAAGCCTTTTCGTGGACTTCAAGGTGCTTGGGTGCGCCATGAGCGACGCAGAGATCATGGAACGGACGAAGGCGCACCCGTACCACGAGGTGCATGCACTGCACGTGCCACGCATCCGTTTCTCCAGCAATGGTCGTGCGTCGGTCCCCCGCGCCCTTACGTCCAGCGAAGTGGTCGTTCCCGCCGGCGCCCCCGTGTGGGCGCAACACAGCGTGGGATTCAAGGGCGAGGACTGGGACCACGTGGTGGAGACGAGGGGGGAAGATGTGATGCGTGCGTTTGCGAAGGAGACGGCTGCGGCGGTTGGGGTGGATGAGGGTGGCGTGCGTGGTGTAGTTCTAAAGCCCGAGGCTGATGGCTTGCTTGTTGAATTTGAGCTGAGGCGCCCGGCGTCGCTGACGGAGCAGGATGGTAAAGCGGCGATGGATGTATGCAAATACAAGGCTGTTTGGGCAGTGTATCAGGAGGTGCTTCTTGGCATGGAGGAGAAGGTCGTGACCACGCACGAGCTTGGGTTCGAGGGCGAGGACTGGGACTACGTGCTGGAGCGGCGGGACGCGGAGGTGAAGGAGGCGGCGGCCATCGAGACGGCGCGGGCGCTCGGAGTGGGGCGCGAGGACGTGGTGGAGGTGGGGCTTGACGTTGTGCCGCAGAGCCTCGTCGTGTTCGTCACGGTACGTCACTCGTCAAAGCTGAGCGACAGCCAGGTGGACGGGATGCTGGCGCAGTGCCAGTACAAGACACTGTGGGCACTGTACGACACGCGGCCGTTGGAGTCGGCTGTGCTGACGAGGCGGTTTGACGGTGACGACTGGGACATCGTGATTGATGGCAGTCGCGGGAAGCTCGAGGACGCGTTCTGCAGGGAGACGGCTGCCGCGTTGGGCGTGTCGCAGAGGCAGGTTGTGTGTGTGGACTGCAGGATCGGAAGCCTTTTCGTGGACTTCAAGGTGCTTGGGTGCGCCATGAGCGACGCAGAGATCATGGAACGGACGAAGGCGCACCCGTACCACGAGGTGCATGCACTGCACGTGCCACGCATCCGTTTCTCCAGCAATGGTCGTGCGTCGGTCCCCCGCGCCCTTACGTCCAGCGAAGTGGTCGTTCCCGCCGGCGCCCCCGTGTGGGCGCAACACAGCGTGGGATTCAAGGGCGAGGACTGGGACCACGTGGTGGAGACGAGGGGGGAAGATGTGATGCGTGCGTTTGCGAAGGAGACGGCTGCGGCGGTTGGGGTGGATGAGGGTGGCGTGCGTGGTGTAGTTCTAAAGC